ATTTATTTCTTTAGATTATCGAGATTTACAATTCCATTTCGTTTATTTTTAATTGCTATTTCATACAAAAAAAATATATTTTTATTATATACTTTATTTTAAATGTTTGTTTCTTTTGTCACTATTGGGTTCACCATATTAATAATGCACATTTTATATCTATTTAAATTGTATATATGTAATTACGTGTAATTTTAACAAGATTTTATAATTACATTACGTTTGTTAACTTTTTTAAAATACATCTTACAATCATATTCAAAATCAAAAGAAACCAGTGGCGCTACAACCTTTTTAAATCTGGGCCAGAAATTTCTGTATTTTTTTCATGATCATTTGTCAATCTAAAAGGCAAGTAGGAGATCAGCTTCCTGTCGCGCAGCATCGCCGTCGACATTTTGGGTCTTAAGCAAAGCGGTTTTCCTCTCGATATTTTCCTTCATCGTTGCGTTAAATGCGCACATAGACAGAAAGTCCATTGATGCACAGCCGGCGATCGATCCTACGACCTCAAGGTTTAAAGTCGCACACTGAAGCTACTAAGACAACACAGCTCACATATAAATCTTCATCACTAATGGAAATTATCAAAACCGTTATTTCAATTAAAAAATTATATATTTTCACATCTTACATGTTATTCTCATAAATTCTTCATATTTTATAACGACGCAAGTTTCAAATGGACATGTAGAGCTGTTTCGAATTTGAAACCTAGTCTAGGTTGGAAAAGTTGGGCGTATTTTAAAATAGCTTCCTATTTTTCCTTCCCATTCTCATTATACTGGTATAATTTCTTTATTACATCTAAAATTAGAAGCATTTAATATGTATTTATTTTTTGACGTTCAAAAGTTTTCATTATGTTACCTATATGAATATGATTTTGATTTCATTTGATTTGATATTATATTGCTATTAAATTCTACCAAATGCAATTTGGAAAATTCTATTTGCATTTATAACTTGTAGGAATCACGACAATTCGCACATAAGACTGTGAAGTAGTTAAACCGCCCTTTTACATGTTTATTATCTTCATCATCATTGTTCAACTCGTCTATATACTGTAAAGAATAACCTTATGCAGTTCTGAATGCGCAACCGTCTTAGACCGGCACGGCTACCAACCGGCTTCCCTCATAAAGTAGGTCCCCATATGAAAGAGAGGAGCAGTCTCGTGCTCTGAACGTCTAACAGCTCTCAACACATCTGCTCATAGTCTAGCTGACTGATTGCAAGATAAAGACTTATATAAAAAAAAAAAAAAGTTAAACCGCCCAGATCTAAATATAGCAATAAGTTCATTCTATTCAAGCAAAGAAATTACACTTAAATATTTGATATTTATGTTACAAAATAAATATAAATATATAACATACCCACCCATCATTATGTTATGATAGATATCGCAATAAATTTAAACAAAATATATTAGAGTTTGTGAAATTTTATTTTACTACAAAATGTTCTACGTATATGCATTTTTCTATTGTTACAATGTGAGTACAAAAACCTCAATCGTCGACGACAAAAATCCGAGCTAAAACAAAGATCTAGTGTGCAAGACATTTTCTTTGAGGAAAATAGAAGCTGCGGAAACTGAGATAAATAAAATCACTTTGTAAGCCAAGATACAACTGAGCATTATTCAATTTATTTTTAGTATAAGAAGAGCTTTAACATGGCTTGCGAAATAACATTTTAACTTAAGGCAATCACAGACATTGCAAAAAAATCCACGTTTTTCTAAGATTCTTTGTGTAAATGAGAATTATTTTATTAACCCTAATCGAAACTATAAGACACATTTTTCTATATGATATTTTATTGTTTGGAATTTAAATCGCTTAGTATAAGTCCCTTTCGCATGTAGAAGGCGCATTTCTATGTCTGTTTCGTTGATAATTTTACATTAATACTAAAGTAAACATTTGTCTCTGCTGTGACTGCACATTGAGTTTTAAGACTACATTTTTTCAGAAAATAAAACCGTATACAAGTCACGTAAGTCTAGCATATAGCAGACACATTTCTTCTGTTTCATTGATAACTGTCCTTTTAATAAGGTAAACATAACGAAATGTTACCTTCAAGCATGTAAGCAATAGAAGAAAAAATACAAATCCGGGGTTTGAATTTATGGATTATAATCACAGTAGTAAGCTAACGTTGTCTATAGTTTTTTTATACAAGGCCACGCATAACAAAAAAAAGAAACATGTTACACAAATTACGACCAATATGTTGCCTTAATAAAAATATAATAGCTCGGCGTGCACATACATAATGCTTATTATTAATAAGTTTACAAAGATAAATATTACAAAAAAAAGAAATAGTGGCGCTACAACCTCTTTAGGTCTTGGCCTCAGATTTCTGAATCTGTTTCATGATCATTTTTTAATCTAATAGGCAAGTAGGTGATCAGCCTCCAGTGCCTGACACACTCGACTTTTTAGGTGTAAGACATGTCGGTTACCTCACGATGTTTTCCTTCACCGTTCGAGCAAATGTTAAATGCGCACATAGAAAGAAAGTCCATTGGTGTACAGCCGGGGATCGAACCTACGACCTCAGGTATGAGAGTCGCACGCTGAAGCCACTAGGCCAACACTGCTCTAGATATTACAAAAAATAGCAAAAAAAAACCGAAGAAAGTGCTTACAGCCCTTCGATGCCTGGCGATTCGAAAAAATATAAGATTGTACGGGCCCTGGAGCCGAACATTCTAGCCAGTCTGAGTATCTTAATCATGCTCTAAAATCTATCTATTTAAGCCAAATGCGGCTCACAAGTAGATTAGCTACCGATAACATTTAATAAACAGCTTATCATTTTTATCTTTTCGCACCATTAATCGATATTCAATATTTTTGTTTCAGGCCCATTTCTAGAATAAAACATGGTGAGGCGAGCATTGGATTTCTTTCAAAAATATGACTCTGAATGTAAGTAATAACAGACTTCTCTAGGAAATTATATGTCACAGTTTGAAGCGTAGTTTTTATTCAACTTTCAAAAGATATGAAATCTTATATGAATACGGAATGTAAAAACATATTACTGTTTTAAAATTATAATATGGGTTGTATATGGACGCTTGCTATTTACGTATTTTATAATTTATAAAATATTACTATTAATATACGTATTTACGTATTTTATAATTTATATAAATAGGTTATGAATTATGATTTTTACTATTCAAATACTTGCACCTTAACATGCCTGGGAAGAATAACGAAAGTTAGGGCCGGTTTCTCAATTAAGAAAAGTGTTTTCTACTGAGGAAACTCTTTGTGTTTAAGAACTTACTCTTTGCCATCTAATATTGTCCCTTTCCATCGTTCGTCGAAACTCTCAAAGAATAGTGGCGGAGTTCTTTTAACTCTTCTCTTGCGTTATACAAGGCTTTCAACCAATGATAAATGGCCCCACTAGTGTTAAGTGAAGACGGTTATTAGTTGCACACCGGCTGAATTTACAAGAATTGCATTATTTATAATTAGTTGTAAAAAGGTTTAGGTTTTATGTCTTCTTGGTTTTAGTTAAATTTTTATATTAGTAAGTTTTCTATTGTATTAGTTCCTGTAAAAATAGGATATAAGGAAATAAATAATAACACACACGTATGACGTGTTGTACACACAATTTAGTAATGTTGATTGCCGAAACCCATTTAATTACAGTTTAAAAGGCTATATATAATCATTTCAGAAAAGCAAATTTGACTTGAATCGTGTTAAAATATAGGTTACAAACTCAAGATTTTTTTCGTTGATTAAAGATGATAAATTCGGACGTGAAATTAACAATTAAAAAACGGGCCTCCACTCACATTCTTTCCTTAAATAAAAAAACTAATTAATGTATACTTTAATAGGGCTTTTAGACATTGTAACAAAACTAAATACATCGTTTTACATTTACTAAATTCTGAAATATCGCTCCAAGCACGTAGCGCATAGCACTGTAGGGAGCTGGAAAGGTTTAGTTTTAGCTTAGAAGCCTACTCAAGCAAAATAGATACTTAATTGCAGCGTCATATTGTCGGATTAGCGTATTACGTAATATTTAAAGCTAAATTAAATGCATTTTTCATAGGAGCTGTCATAAAGTATCAGTTAATTAAGCGTTGAGAATTAATTTTGTTAATTATATTTAAGAGGCAGTAGCCGGCATTATTAATTTGTTAGGGAGAGGCATCTATCGACTTGAATAGATAAATAAAAGTAAACTAGTAGGTAAGTGTGCCGGATTTGAAGTGTGTCGTGAGATAAAATATTTCCTAGATTTTGTGTTATCGAATAAAGAAGTCAGAAATCGGCGGATTTTGTAGCAATTTCGAGCAAATGCCATTCCAATCCAATTTATATATTCTATGATTGTATTGTCGATATCAGTTTTAATATTTTGATGATAATTTTTATCATTACTGACATTTTGACATTTATTATTTTTATCAGCGCAGTTAACATATAATATTACTTTTATGCAAAATTCATAACCGTAAACTCATAAAAACTTTTAAGAGTTTAGATGTTAACCAAAGTGTAGAAATGAGAGACATGTTTCATGAAGAGCGTTTAAAATATGTGGAAAAAATTAACTACAAATTAGATCAAAAATAGAGGAAAATAGAATCTGAATTAGTAATTTAATAATGTAAGTAATTTTTGTAGTTATGAGCCAAAAAATCAATTTTAATTTACTGCCAGTTTTTAAATTAAGAACGTCGGCCACTCTCTGCCACTCCTTTTAATCGCCAAGTAATTTGTTTTTTGAGATGCTTGTAACGAGCTGCAACTATTACCTTGCACCATATAACATGGAAATGGATTCAATAAATAAGTGATAAATAACCGATATAATAATAGAAATAATTTCAATAGTAAACAAATTGCATTCTTTACACATTAGTAAGTAGTTTATCATGTGTTAGGACTACGTAATGAAAATTGAATTTTTTAGATGTTTGGATGGTTCCGCGGTGAAATATGGAGGGCGTGTACCATGACGACCTACTGCAGTGGGACACCCTTAACTACCATAATATCTCCTATAACACAACCGAGTGGGTCCCGTGGAATGTTTCCGAGACAAATAGAACCTGGTGGGAGACATCTGATGCGTTGGACTCCCCGGCAGCATTGCTCCGGGCAGCCGTCATGGCAGTCCTGCTAGGTCTACTTATACTGGCTACCGTAGTTGGTAAATATATTTGTAGTTTCATATGTTAATCGAAATAGTGTGTCTATTTTAGTTATTTCAATGTTAAAAACAATATTTCATCAAAGGCAAGTTACACAACACAACGGTGACTTAATCCATTTATTGCTAATTAGAACGTGGAGTCCTAACAAAAGCGCATTCTCTTTATTGCTTACGAATATTAATTAGACATTGATAAAATTATTATTTAATGAAAACAATATTGCTTTGCATTTCTATCCTTTTTTGAAAAGAAAATGGATTTTACCTGCCTTTTCTCCAGCCCTTTTGTGGTTTGTTGTAGTAGTATAGGAATCCGTAGTTTGACAAATTTGAGCAACTCTTATATTTAATCGTGTATAATTTTATTCTAGTTCCATTTTTATACTTATATAAATGCAATTTCCCCGTACTAGACTATCTAAAGTTAGTAATATTTTTTTGGGAAAAGGGATACTCTTCTTTAATAATATCCCAGAGGCTCTTTTATCTCTGCCTTTTAATAAATTTAAGAGTATTAAGGAAAAGCTGTGTGAAAGGGCTTACTATAAAGTTAACGATTATCTAGTTGATAAAAGGGCCTGGGACTAGTGCTAGACAGGCTACTTATATTAATTTGCGATATTTGTTTTAAAATAAGTGTTGTTTGATGATTTGCTATTTTAAAAGAGTACCGAGAGTTTTTTACGCCTGCTTTTTCTCTCGGCCTACACCCTCTGTCTTCTTTGCCGATGAGTAGGGATGCCTACAAATTCAAATTTAATGACGTGGAATAAGTGATACATGTATCTTATGTTCCATAATAAACATATTTTATTTTATTTTAATGGCGTGAATATAACAACATCTTTTATCAGGGTCCTTTTAAGAATAGAGGAATTTATTTTTATTCTATATATTAGCTACTCACGTACAACAATAGAATATAAGGGAATTAATGAAATGTTAATTCATATGTAACGAATGAATTTGAAAAACAGTTGAAGAGAGTGCTTACGTCTTGCTATACTCTCGGGACTCCGACGATTTAGGAAATCGCCACGCTTATTCTAAGGAAGCCTGAGTGAGCAAAATGTACAGCCTTGGCTCGTATAGGGTGTAAATGTAATTTTGTAGGTATGTTTTGAGAAATAATTTTTTATCATAATATATATTTTTCATAGGTAATGTATTCGTGATAGCTGCAATATTGCTGGAGAGGCATTTGCGGAGTGCTGCGAATCAGCTCATACTTTCTTTGGCTGTTGCTGACTTGCTGGTGGCATGTCTAGTGATGCCCTTGGGGGCTGTATACGAGGTCGCTCAGCGCTGGACGCTGGGACCAGAACTTTGTGATATGTGGACCTCAGGAGATGTTCTGTGCTGTACTGCATCTATATTGCATCTCGTTGCAATTGCACTGGACAGGTAAATAGTTAACCTACTTTTTATGGTAACAACGTATTATCAAATTTAGAAATTAATAAATATCTCACAACATTACGATATCTCAAAATAATATACACTAAACAAGTCATCAATCATTTCTGAATAGAAAAGCTGAATATAGATCGTTATTTAGTTCGTATACAAAGTACTACGATTCATATAGATCAATAGGGGTTCTCCCCTGGCTGGTGGTTCACCTGGTCGTAAATAATTACAAGAGTAATTAACGCAGTAATATTTATGGATTTATAGGTATAATAAAAACACAATCAGTGATTTCTGCTGAGTAACAAATGTTGAAAGATGTAACTCAAAAGTGTAACTAATAGTTTTCGTAAAATATCCGCACACTCAAACAAAACTTGGTAATAGAAAATATTTAACGTTCATTTTCTTTGTTTCTAGGTACTGGGCTGTGACTAATATCGACTACATTCATGCGAGAACGGTGCGACGAATCGGTTATATGATTGCGTGTGTCTGGATCGCCAGCTTCTTAGTATGCATCGCGCCTCTTCTAGGATGGAAAGATCCCGACTGGAACAGACGCGTATCTGAGGATTTGCGGTGTGTTGTAAGTCAAGATGTCGGCTATCAAATATTTGCAACAATGTCCTCTTTCTACGTACCAGTGCTCGTAATATTAATTTTGTACTGGCGGATATATCAAACTGCTAGGAAAAGAATACGACGGCGTCATGGAGCGACTGCAAGAGGTGGGGCCGGTCCCCCGCCTGTCCCCGCTGGCGGGGCTTTGGTCGCAGCAGGAGGAAGCGGTGGTATCGCTGCAGCTGTAGTGGCGGTCATAGGTCGGCCTTTACCTACTATATCAGAAACGACTACTACGGGAATGACCACTGTATCATCTAATAACACAAGCCCGGAGAAACAATCATGTGCAAACGGGCTCGAACCAGATCCCCCGACTACGGGGTACAGCGCGGTTGCCGCAGCCTACTATCCATCACTCGTAAGGCGTAAGCCCAAAGAAGCCGCTGACTCCAAGAGAGAGCGCAAAGCGGCAAAGACATTAGCAATAATCACCGGCGCGTTCGTTGCGTGCTGGCTTCCATTTTTCGTGTTAGCTATATTAGTACCAACGTGTGACTGTGAGGTGAGTCCGGTACTGACTTCTCTGTCGTTGTGGTTAGGTTACTTCAATTCTACTCTGAACCCAGTGATATACACGGTGTTCAGTCCAGAGTTTAGGCACGCATTTCAGCGGTTACTCTGCGGCCGCAAATTGCGGCGGCGTCGGGCTCCGCCCTAGCTGTTTTATGTAGGCAATAGGCGTTATCTGTCCCTAGAGCCTTCGCCCCAACCCGACTGACCTCGTTTAACACGATACATTGCGTTATCTTGTTACATTTTCAGAGATATATTTACACCCCCTTTATTTTTTGTACGTGATAATATAAAGTACTTAATACGAGTAGAAATAATCTAATGTTAAGTCCCTTATTATTTACGATTACAGTCCTCTTTGTAACATAATTTAAATTATAGTACAATAGTTAAAGTTAATATACAACTGTGATTTATAATTGTTTAATATTACAAGTATTACGTTGTGAACTCGACTTTCCCCATTGTAAAATTACTAGTCATTAAAGATATTGAAATATAAACTATGATTTACTTTAAGCCGTGGTTTTATTTTCCCAGACAAAAACATTGAAAATAGAAAATAGCCGTATTCCTCTTGATATTAAAAATAAATGGCTTATATTATTAATATTTTACGCAAGAGCTATTAAAGAAACCAGATTATATTACTGTATCATAATCTACTGTAATTTATATCATAGAGTATTAGGGTTTAGCAATTTCGGATGTAGTTTGGACAACATGAACAAAATATTTATGAGAATTTAGAAATAAAAATTGATTAAATTAAATGGAATATGATGCAAAATGATGATATTGAATGCGTAAAAAATGGAAATAAACAAAAACAAAATAAAATAAAATTACGTAAAGTCTAAGAAACGGACAATTTAATAGTGGTCAGACAAAATTTGCTTATGCCTAAACCTGAACCCTTTTTTCTCAGTGCTCTTGCTTGTGCTCTTTATGCTTTTGCTTGTGCTCCTGCTTCTTCTTGTGTTGTGCTCCTGCTTTTGCTTGTGTTGTGCTCCTGCTGATGCCTGTGTGTTTATTTTATTTTCATCCTGTGACGAAACGAAGAGTAACCAAAACCAGCAGCCTTCATTTTTATTTTTGATCTTGTCCTATTTTTTGTTATGTGTCCTTTTTAAGTTACTTTTTTGTGTTTTTAAATTTGTTTTAAGTTATTGTTTTTTTTATGTTAGTTTATTAACTGTTGTGAATGCAGGCCGTGACCCTATCTTGTGATGGCACGTCGATCGCGTCCCATACATGTACATTTTGCAACAAGTCTTTCAAATCTTTGAAAGGCCTCAAAATACACATTTCTAAAACACACAGGAACTGTATTAGCCAAACCAGTTCACTTTTAGAAATCCATCCCATTATTCCGAGTGCGCCTACTTTTGCAGCCAACGCTCCAACTCCTTTTCATACATTACTTAGCCATTTGAAAAATAGTATACCCATTGTTAAAAGAATCCCTCGCGGAGCACGAATAACTGTTGCTACACATTTGTCAAAATTAATCCAGAAATGTTATATAAGCAATTGTACTCAAGACTGGCAGAACTTATTTTTATTTTCATACAGTACACTACACATAATAAAAACTGATGAACCGAATTTATCCCTGACACAAAAGATAAAGAATAACTGTGCTGTAAGTTCCTCACCTTCTCCCGCACCTCTAATTAAACATGATGCCCCTTTTAATCGCAAAAAACTCATCGAGAACAAAATTTGTGACGGAGATCTTAAAGGTGCCGCTCGTCTTTTGTTCTCCAATGACGTGCTATCGCCAGATACGCCTGACACCCTTGAGGCATTACGGACTAAACATCCCCCAGCTCCAGTAAACCCATATTTTCTCGACCCACCAACAGCAGGGCAAGCATGCCTTAAAATTCGAAACAAAGATGTAACTGATGCAATTTTATCTTTTAAACCAGGTTCGGCAGCAGGATTGGATGGAATCTCACCCCAACATTTGAAAGATTTAACATCGCATTCTGTGGGTGATGCAGGCGAGCAACTTATTAACTCGATCACAAAATTAATAAATTTTATGTATTCCGGGGATGTCAATACAGAAATTGTTCCCATTCTTTTCGGCGCGAACCTCATTGCCCTCACTAAAAGGACGGAGGGGTGAGACCAATTGCTGTTGGTTCAACACTAAGACGTCTGGCTTCCAAAATTGCTGTTCGACATATTTTACCAAAATTAAATTCAGAATTTGAACCTGTACAGTTAGGCTTCGGTGTGAAAGGAGGGTGTGAGGCAGCCGTCCATGCCCTACGCTCTTTCCTAAGTCACGGACAGCCAGACGTGTTGCTCAAAATTGATGTGAAAAATGCATTTAATTCGGTAAATAGGGATACCCTGCTGACTGAAATAAAACAACATATACCGGAAATATACAATTATCTTCTTCTCAGTTACGCTGATCCAACTAAATTGTTATATCGTTCTAATGAACTTTCCTCGGAAGTAGGTTGTCAACAGGGTGATCCCCTTGGGCCTGCAATTTTTAGTTTGGCTATAAATCCCATAATCAAAAATTTAAATTCTAATTTCAATGTTTGGTATTTGGACGACGGAACCCTAGGAGGTGATGTGGATACTGTGTTTTCGGACCTTCTTTTAATCAAAAAAAAATTTGAAGCCATTGGTTTGGAGCTTAATTTTAACAAATGCGAACTTTTCATAAATAACTGCGACTTAAATTTAAATGATGTAAAAAAAAATTTCAAATTTTGGCTCCAAATATTAAAATAGTTAACAGGAATTCCCTTTACCTTTTAGGTTCTCCAATTTTTAATGAATCTATTTCTGATTATATTCATACTTCAATTACTAAATTTCAAAATTCTGCTGACCGTCTCCTTGAAATTAGTCCACATTATGCACTTTGCATCTTAAAATTCTGTCTTTTCCTCCCAAAATTTACGTATGTGCTCCGTTGCTGCTCCTTTTGGAATCACCCAGATATTTTAACACCATTAGACGACTTAATCAAAATTAGCTTAGAATCACTTCTTAATATGCAGCTGAACGAGAAATCTTGGACCCAAGCTTCCCTACCCATCCGTTATGGTGGTTTAGGGATTCGCAAAATTTCCAGTGTCGCTTTACCAGCCTTTCTATCTTCTGTCCATAGTTCAGCAAATCTCATAAGTAAAATTTTAAGGGCATCCCCTTCAAACTTTGAGATTGCTGGCTTGGAAGAAGCTAGAAACGCTTTCTTGATTGCATGCCCAGGTCAAAATTTTCCATTATCTCTAAATTCACAGAGGAGCTGGGATGACATACACTGCAAGTTGACTTTTGACGATCTTTTGAGTCGTAGTACGGGTTCGGCGCGTGCTAGGCTTTTGGCCGTGGGCACGCATGAGGCCGGCTACTGGCTTCACGCTTACCCATCGTCAAATACAGGAACTTTTCTTGAGCCTGACACGCTTCGAATCGCAACCTGTCTACGGCTTGGGGTTCCGGTCTGCGCTCCTCATATATGTCCCTGTGGCAGTGATGTCGACAAGTTAGGACATCACGGCCTGTCATGCCAAAAAGTGCAGGCCGCTTCTCGAGACATGCCGCACTTAACGATATCATACGCCGTTCCCTTGCCACCGTCAACGTGCCAAGTCTTCTTGAGCCAAGTGGTATTGCAAGAGACGATGGCAAGAGACCGGACGGTATGAGTTTGATTCCATGGAAGATGGGTCGGGTACTGGTATGGGATGCAACCTGTTCAGACACGCTGGCCCCTTCCCATCTACATGGAACCAACTACAGAGCTGGTGCGGCTTGTGAAGCGGCTGAAAAAATAAAGCAGGCAAATACAGGGGTCTGGGCTCTGAATATGATTTTGTCCCATTCGGTGTCGAGACCCTTGGTCCGTGGGGTCCTAGCGCTTTAAGGCTTTTTAAAGAAATTTCAAAAAGGTTAGTCGACATCACAGGAGACCGAAGATCTGGCAGCTACCTCGGACAAAGAATTAGTCTAGCAATTCAAAGGGGGAACGCTGCCAGTATCTTCGGAACCTTGCCTAAAGGGACTCCTTTTAATGATATATTTTAGTTTATGTTAAGTTTCGTTATTTATTTCAATGTATATTATTTTATTATTATTAGTTTATGTTTATAAGTTTAATTTTATTAATATTGTTACCATTACACTATAAAAATGATATTTAAATAGAAATTATTTTGATTGAGTGATTGATATCGTAGTATATAAATAATAAATATATCTGTGTACAATATTTGATATTACAAAAATATATGATAAAAACTAAACAAAGTCATAAAAAAAAGTTTTGAAGATAAAACTGTTATGAATAAATCTGATTCATTATTTAGGTCTTGTTTACATGTTCACCAATCACTTAAATTCTTATCTTTATACATTCAGTTACACATGTATATTGTCTTTGTTTTATATATATCTATGATAAATATATCTATAAAACAAAGGCAAAATAATACAATATTTTAATCAAAAAGTTATAAAAATTTAATACAACTTCTACATATGTGACGCATATAGATTGTTTGCAGAAACTAAGCGTGTTTTTCTCCAATGAAATAATTACAAAACAAATTCAATTATATCACACGGATAATATATTTGTAAATGTTATACTTGTTTAACACATTTTGTTGGAGGCCAGCCCATCCCCTAAGATTGAATTAAGATAAAGTACTTAATTATTTTCGGCGTTTTGAAATTTAATTATTTTGTTACTTTCACTTTACCTTGTTTACTTAAAAATTTGAAAACTAGATAAGATTATTAAACTTGGGACGAAACGGCATTGTTGAGAGCTTACTAACACATCCGTGCTCAGAAAAAAACTTTTTTTAATGTGTAAGAGACGCGCACTACGGATTTTGAGTGAACTACATTGAAACTGAACTAAAAGGCACAGAGTTCTATATTATTTCAGTATTTTGTCTCATGAAGATAATTCTGCTGACCTGCAACGGCCACTGATTATTACTATTATAGGCATGCGATAGGCCTTTTGATACATATCTATTTTGCAATAAGGCATTTCAGTTTCTTTAAGATGTTACCTTCTCCGAACAAGGTATATTGTAGGTACATGGACAGATAAGGAACATTGGGTTAGATATATGGGTGTGTATTGTGTCAGTC